TGTTTTCTCTCACTGTAGACAGGAGTAGTGAGCAGTAGCCATAATAATAATTAAAAAAAAAGTCTGAATGCTCTCCTGTCTTGGAATTTTCTCCACCAAAAAGGAATCATCCATTACTTTTGCATTTAGCTCCAGTTACATTGTCATGATGTGAACAGAATAAAGGCAGATTATTTGCTAAGATGTGACCTGAATGGCCTCTAGCTCACTTCCCAGCAGAGCCCTGTTATAGGGCTCTGAAATGCCATGATTCTGGCCTCCATTGTCTGCACTCTTCATGGCATTCTAATCTTCCAAATTCCCACCAGAAGATCCCACTTAGCTCTGCTTACAGAATTCTTGGGCTTCTCTGGTCTATAGCTTCAAACTCTTCCACATTCCTCCTACAAACCAATTCCAAAAGCTTATGGACTGCGGTAAGGTTTATCACAGCAATAGCCTCACTTCAGGGTACCAATTTTTGGCATGAGTCACTCATCTTGTTGATGTGACAAAAGTAAGTAACAAACACAACTTAAGGCAGGAAGGGTTTGTTTAGGCTCAGAAACAGACCTTTGTGGTGGGAACGGCATGGCAGAGGAGCACGAGGCAGGCAGTCATGCTGCGTTGGTGCTTAACAAAGATGGATGAGTTGAATGCTGGTTCTCAGATCAACTTCTCCTTTTCAGCCCAGAGCTCCAGCTCTTAGGATGGTGCATCTACCATTCAGGGAGTGTCTTCTCTCAGTTAAACTTTTATTTTTTCCAACAACCTCATAGACTTACCCAGAAGCATGTTTGCATGGTGATTTAAAATCCAGTCAAGCTGACCCAAAAGATTAACCATCATGCCATCTATCCTACACTAGTTTTATACCTTCCTAATTTGTTTTGGCTATAGTTTTCTTCTTCTTCTCATTTTTAACTTTAAGGCGTGCTTCTTTAAGACAAAAGAGAGACACAGCTGACATCATTACCACTAAGACAACAGGAGAGCAAGTTCCTATTTAACTAAGCAAAGGTGGGAATCATTTTGTCATGGACTTTTTCTTACAAACAACTTTCTTTCCTCTACGACTCCAATGGCGTTGGCTTGGCTCTAGGCACCAAAGGTCACATCTAAGGGAAGAGTTAGTCCGCCACCACCAGTCCTGGACTGGAGACGGTGTTCCTGTCCTCTTTCCTTCTGCTCCTCACTATCACCACCCTCACCCCTCTCATCCTTTCTCCTCTTTACTTCCCTACCCCTCTTTACACAGTTTTCATTCCTCCAAGTTTCCATGTCCAAGTGGGGCTCAAGTCTGACCTCCTGCTAAGAACACGTGTGACGAATTGTCCCCTTCTCCTGATGCTGGATCAGAGCCGCCTCTCTTGTGCCGAACGTGCTTGGTAAAGGCATCTGCTTCTGCCTGATTTCTTAAACTGAATGGGAGGGTCGGGAGAAATAACTGGCAACAGCCAAAGTTTTGTGAAGGTGCAATGGCAAAAATATCAACTGAAGATCAGACATGTGGGACTGGAGAGATGGCTCAGTGGTTAAGAGTGCTGGCTGCTCTTCCTGAGGTCCTGAGTTCAATTCCCAGCAACCACATGGTGGCTCACAACCATTCGTAATGAGATCTGGTGCCCTCTTCTGGCCTGCAGGCATATATGCAGGCAGAACACTGTATACTTACTTAATAAGTAAATAAATCTTTTTAAAAAATCAGGCATGTAACAACTCTGAGGTGCTTCTGGCAATGCTTATCAGGGCTGCATGCACAACTTCACGGGAGCCTTGGTTTTGAACATACAACACACGTACTTGCACTGTGCATTCGTCACACCACTTGCCACCAGCAAATGCTGCTTGAAATGTCTCAGCTAAGGGTCAAGACTCCGGTATGTTTTTATTCTGTGTGCAAAAGTTTTCTCTTCTTATATAAACATGATGGCTTAATTATGAAAACAGAGACGTTCAGTATCTTCCTACCGTCATCTCTCAGCACACGACTATCAAATTACTATCTTTGGATTGCATCGTGTTGGCATGTTTAGTTTTAGAAATTCCTATTTGAAAACCCAATGAGTTTCATAAAAAACAGTACATCCTGATTTGGTATTTGGACAGAATTTCCATATCTGAAATGGACCTATATGAACTTCTGTCTTTCTGTACTATGTGTTCATGTGAAGTGGCATTTCAGTATTGATAATTATAAATTGAAAATAATGATTAACTCTAGAGAACATTAGAGATGTTCTATGCCTGGCAGAATTAAATATTCAACCAAAGTTTAATTCTTTCTGTAAAAATAAACAAGGCCACCTCTCTCATTAGTATGCGAATCTGCTTTAATTGCCAATAAACAATAAAATTATATATATATATATATAAAGATTTGTCTTATAAATTTCTTTGTGATTTATTATCATTGTTTGATTTGTATATTCATTTGAATGCATGCATATATAAATACACACACAACACAGGGTCACAGAAACTTCTTATCTATAAAGAAGTTTCAAGTAGAAAAAGCTTGAGAAGCTGTGATCTACTGAAATGGTCACTGAACACAATGATTGCTGGGGAACTGCTCAGCCAGTCACACATTCACAAAGAACACACTCTCTCCTTCCCCAGTTTTGACAGGGTCTGACAGGCAAGCCGCCCAATGGTTAAGGGCTGCCCCGAAGGCCACAAAGGGCATGCCATTTGCAAAAGTATAGGTCTCTTTTCCTAACTCGTTAGTCATCTTGTCAATGGAGAGTCGACTCCTTCTTTGTTTCTCCAGAATTGATTTCAAAATTTAAATGCTCTGCTTGGTTCTGTCATTTAGGCTTCCTTGGCTTTTATTTAAATACACACACATTTTAGAGACAGAGGAAATGGGGAAAATGCAAACAGGCTCACCTGCTGCCCTTTACAAAACTCACCCAATTTATTCAGAATCTTTCTGGCAAGAGGAAGGCTCATCTGCTTTGGTTTTTTTCATTCTCTCTGGGATGCTAATTGTTTTTCTTTTGATAGTCTTGTTGTTTTGGCCTGAAGTCTAAAATCTGGCCTGCTGAGCTGTGTGTCACATTTGTAAATTAGCTGACATCTGCTTTGAGTTTTTATCATCTTTAATTTTCTTTCAGGATCGCTTCCCTTGTTCATTTTCTCTTTAATTGTAAGAATCAGGTTTTTGTCTTTGCCTTATACAAAAGTATAGACCTTTCTGCTTTGGGGGCATGGACTCAAATGGGTGGAATCACATGGTCCCAAGGAAGACTATTCAGGGAACACATGCTGGGAGAGAAGCCTTAGCAACCGCCCCAGAGAGGATGAGCTTTGGACACAAAAGGCTAGCTGTCCACACCACACTTCTGAGGTTCCCACTGAATAATTACAATCTGTTAGAAGGAGATTGACAGCAAGGGTTGAACTGGGAGAAATATTTTGAACTGAGAGAGGCCGAGGTGGTGGACATATGTGGGATGAATGCTGACTTTTTATTTATCTTTTTCAGTGCTGGAGAGTGAAACCAGGACTTCACATGCAAGGAAAAGCTCTACTGAGCTACATACCCATGCCTCCCTCCCTTCCTCCTGTCCCTTCTTCCCTTCGTTTTTTCCCTTTCTCCCCCTCACTTCCTTTACTTCCTTCTCTTTTTCTTTTTTATCTCAGGGGGAAAGACAGTAAAGGGAGTATTATTGCTAATAGGACTGGGGTTATTTATCAAAGATTAATTACACTGTTAAATTATTGAGCACCACAGCCTTGTAACTTTTCCCCACTTTATAGGAAGCTTTCACACACACAAGCTCAATGATGTTTGTTGGCAACATGTCCCCTGGCCAGGGCCTGTGCATAAGCTTTTCTTCTGGCAAGTGTGACCATAATGACTGGAAGAGGTAACAAGCAGGTTGGCTGTGCACAGAATATAAAAATTTTCCTCAATACCAGGTGCAGAGACTCCATGGCACATTTCTGAAACTATATCATAAACTTATTTGTCAGTGGCTTTGGAGTTTCATATAGTTTATTGGATGCTACATAAAAGTCAAGGGTGTGCTATTTTTGAATGGTATATGTACATAGCAGTGGTTCTCAATTGGAGCACTTTTTGTCTCCTAAGGACATTTAGAAATGTCACAGACAAGTTCACAGTCACAACCCAGAGAGGAGACTGGTGCTAGTACCTAGTAAGTAGGCACTTGGGTTTCTGATAAATACTTTATAGTGCATAAGATAGCCCCCACAAGAATAGGAAGGGCTAGCTGGGTGCACTGAATTCACTCTCACTCTTCAGTTGTAATCGCCCTCTTTCCAACCCAGCCAAGTTGTGGCAGCTCATTCACAACCATCACCCATAGTGTCCATTGATGTGTACTGTCTTTCCCTTGCTTGATCTGGCTTTGTCATCTTCTTGCCGGGACAGTCTCTGTACTGAGACTAGAGAGACCTTGAAATGGGTTCTGACTTCACCCCACCATGCACCAATCTCACAGTGATTCCTACAGGATAAAATGGAAACTTCTTAGAAAGGTATACCAAGCCCACCATGTCTCATCCCTGCCTCCACTTCATCATCATTCCAAATGTTGCTCTTCTTGTAGCACATACTTCACTTATACAAAATGATGCCCATTTCAAGAGCGACAGACATGTCACCAAAAAGACCGTCTGGAGCAATCTGGTTATCTCCTAAGACTCGGTCCAAAATGTCTCTTACTCTAGGAGATGTTTCTTGATCCCAATTTTACCCCTCCTTCTTCCATATACAGGTAGACTCCCCCATCTCATTGTTCTTCAAATTCTTTGAACCCATCTTTATTAGTATATTCTTCCTCTAGCCTCTAATTTTATTCTCTGATTATTTAACTATCCAACCTACTGGACCTCTCTGCTTAGATTCCTGATTCAGAATAAACAAGTATCAAATGCTTACTGAGTCAATAAAGGAGAGCGACCTGGCATTGCCACTTGTGCTTCATTCTATTTCTTTGTCATAGTCTGCATTTCCTCCAGACTTTGGCTATATTGGTTTCTATAGATACCTGCCATTCCCAGCCGCGCTGTTTTCCAGTCGTCGGGAAAGCAGCTTGGCAATGTTGGTGAAGCTGTTGCTCATTCGGAAGATGTCCCTGCTGTGAGGGCCCAGGATGGAGGAGAAGGCATCAGTGATGCTCTTGATTTCCAGCAGGAGAATATGATGAAACGAGTGCTCCATGTTAGCCAGCTGGCTCACCAGGTATCGTAAGCAGCTCCTGGCTCTTTCCTGCCAACAACAAGGAGCAACAACAGACGTCTGTATGATAATATAATATCAAAGTTCCATGAACTCGATTCCTTTAAAGAAGTACGGGCGGTATTGGTAATGTAGGCACTTTTGAAGACATCACACTTGTGTGAACTCGTGATATGCCATGTATCACAGAGACATTGTCCATCCCCAACTTAGAGTCAGAAGATAGAAGTGGGGTATCTTCATCACACGCCAGGCCCATCTTAGAAGTTAGGAACACAGCACGAAAGGAAAAGGGTGGAAATCTACTGTCATGGCGAAGCAGACAGTGAACAAAATACCCATGTAAAAAACAGTGTGTTGGATGGAGAAATGTGCCGCAAAAAAAACAAAAATGAAGCAGGAAGAGGAGACCCTGGGAAATTAATATTAAATAGTGCACTAGACACATCCCAGAGAGAAAGTAACATTCAAATTCAATGAAGTTTTTTTTTATCATTGAAATCCAGCATGCTCAGAAACCTTAGTGATAATTAGAGTAAAATTCATCTTGCTTTGACATAGGGTAGAAGGTAAACCCAGGAGCCAGGCCACATAGGATGTGATATTTTATTTATTGTTTGTCTCACTGACAAGTGTAACTTCAAACTTCATGTATGCTCCTTAGCTTCAGAATCAGGTTCTACTTTAGCATCCTAGAAAGTCATTCCACAAATACTTAAGTATCCCTATGGCTCTCTGGAGAGGATTTCCTGGGCCGCAGATGTAGATCAGTTGCTACAGCAATTTTGTAGCACATGTGAGGCCCTGGATTGACCTAGGGATTCTCTTTCCACCCCCCACTCCAAAACCTTTCTCATCATAAAAAAATTAGAACATTCTTTTCTTAGAAGCATTTGTCTTCCTGGCAGTGAAGGTGACTGTGTGGATGTTTGCTGAAATCAGCCTCATTCTGAATGATCCTCTGGCATCCAAACAGAGCTGCAGGGAGAATTAATCACATTTCGGGAACAAGAAAAATTCTAACTGCTTGGGACCCTGCATATGAATCCACGCCAACCTCACATCATTTGTTCTGAAACCTTGGAGCGCATCCAGGTTCCTCACCGGGGTAACAGATGTGATTCTGGATGAGAAAGTGTGATGTTAGGGTAAGAAGCGGGTTATGGAATTCTGATTTCTTTCTCAGCGCCAAAGTATTTCGTCTCTGAGGCTTAGTGGCCACATCATGTGCTTTCAGTCTTCCCACAGTGGGGCAAGGTCAGCGGCACCTGTGTGTCATAATGTGGGCCATTCACTTATCCACTCAGACACAGACTGTTTATTATTAGAATAAAAATAGTAGATACACAGGGCAGTTAGTCCAAGTGTCAAGACTATCTCACACGCTCCTTAGTACTCATGGGATCCTCTGAATGACACTGTGAGGTAAGTAATGAGATGGCACATGGGGAAGAAACAGGACAGACTAATATACTCACAGCCACATACCCTCCCCATCTCTGACCAGTGTGCCCTGGCTGGCTATGGCACCAGCCCTTCCTACACAGAACCAAGACCACAAGTCCATCCCCTTTGTGGTCTCTCATCACAGTTATGCAGTTCACTTGATTTACATAATAAACATCATAAACACTCTGTAAATACAAAAATATGCCAGCAATTTTCAAACCTTTTTGTTTGTAGGGCACCTTACCTCTTTTTTAAATGCTTGAAGTTCCCAAAGAGCTTTTGTTTGTCTGGGCTGTATCGATATTTGCCATTTACAAACTAAAGTGATAAATTAGAATCACCAATTCATTTAGATTTGTTTATGAAAAAAAACCTCATTCTCCGAAACAGAACTTTTGCAAATCTCTATAGTATAGTAATTGTTCACATGGACAAAAAACTGTATTCTCATATCTGTTCTTTACCTGCTGCATTATATATGGCCTCACATAGATTATATAGTTGGAAAAATTAAGATTATTTTCAAAATAGGTTTGATAATTATGCACATTCCTCATGGATAGTACATGAAAACTCAGTAAGTGGTGGTAACAATGTGCAATATTAATATTTCTGTACTGTTACATTAAAACCCATCTCGTAGTTTTAATGGGTCTTTTTACCCCTGCATGATATTGTAACATTAAACATTGAATATTTAGCAAAACTTCAGTTCACTGAATTAGGCATATCTTCCAAATGTAGATTCATTTTCTTCTATAAGATCAGGAAACATTGCACTTGACGGAGCAGGAAAGGGTTCACGGGTTCCCACCCCCAGGAAAGGAAGGAGCTACTGGCAATTGATGGCTTTAAGCAAGGGAGAGAGAGTTGATGGTTTTCTTTCAGTGTAGCCCACACTCCAGTGGATTTCCCAACACCCACGTCTATAGCGGCAGCGCAAAATGACTCAATGGGTTATTGACAGAAAAAAGAGGACATAATGTTGGGAGAGTGTGAGAGTGAGGATTGGAGCTGGGAGGAGTCACAGAGAGGAGTAGGGGAAAATATGAAAAAAACATTGTGGAAGGGCATGTGTAAAATTATCAAACAATTAATGAAGATATTGTAAAAGGAGAAAACAAACAAACAAACAAAAACAAACTCAACTCTCAACTGTTCACATGACCATGCTTTTTATCAGGAAAGCTCTTGCACTAGGGGAACCACTATGTTTAGAGTGGTGGTTATCAATTTTCATAATTCTAATTTTCACTCCAACTTCAGATTTTTATCACTGGCAACTGATACAGCTGTCGGTCTGTGTCCACGATTTCCATATCTGGGGATTCAACCTACTGCAGATTAGAACACTCAAGGGGGAAACTGGCATCTGTGTTGCACGTGTGCAGCCTGTTCTCATCATTGCTCCCTAAGCACCTTGGCAAGAAGATGGTCCTCACGGCACTTACACCGGGTTAGCTGTTCTAAGTAATTTAGAAACAATATGACACACAGGAGAGGATGAGCACATTAAGTGGTGTTTTCTGTAATGGAATCAAGTACTCTTGCATCTTGATATCCACAGTCTACTAATCCTCTCCACACACACTTTTTGTTGTAATAAAATGCCAGACTGGAATCAACTTAAGACAAGGGTTTATTTGAGCTTATAGTTCAAGGAGATAATACAGTCTGTATATATGAATATAATCCGATACATTGTATTATCATTCTGGAAATAGGAAAATGACAGGATTAGGGGCCAGCTAAGAATGTGAAAGCCTGTCCCCAGGCACCCAACTCCTCCAGTTAGACCCCACTTAACTAACCCCCCTTCACACACCAAGTAGAGGACTGTAACAGTCAGGGTTCTCCAGAGGAATAAAACATGTAGAATGGATCTATCTATCTGTCTGTCTATCTGTCTGTCTATATATATGTAGTATGTATGTATATGTGTATACTTAAAGGGGGTTCAGCTAATCTAATAATAGCTGCCTATGAACAGAAGGTCCAAGAATCCAGTGGATGTTCATCCCACAAGGCTGCATGTCTTTGCTGGTCTTCAGTATACTCAGAAATCCCAAAGAAGTGGGCTGTAATGCCAGAAAAGGAATGGACTTGCTAGTGAGAGCAAGAGCAAACAGAGAGACAGAGAGATAGAGACAGAGAGAGAGAGAGAAACAGAGACATACAGAGACAGACAGACAGAGATAGAGACACAGAGAGAGAAACAGAGACAGACAGAGACAGAGAGACAGAGAGAGCTTCCTTCTTGAATGTTCTTTATATAGGCTGCCAGCAGAAGCTATGGTCCAGATTAAAAGTTAAATTTTCTCACCTCAAAAAATCTGGATTAAGAGTGTATCCTCCCACACCAAAAGATAAGAATTAGAAATAGGCCTTCATTGAACTAAGAAAAACATCCCTCACAGATATGCTCAGTCATTTGGGTTTTAGTTAATTCCAGATGCAGTCAAGTTGACAATCAAGAATATCCACCACAGTCTGCTCCTTGTCAATTTGATACACAATCATATCTCTTTGATAATTTCCAAATGAAAACAATAACTGTTATAATTATGCCTTTCATGATATAACTGCCCCTCATACAACTGCAAATGCATTATAAATTTAGAATAGGTGGCAATGTCCCTTGAGGGACATTCTTTCAGTATCTCAAACTAAAATATTATAACCACTGATACTCTTAATTGATTTTACATTACACTATAAAGAAATTGAGGAAAGACAACACAATATCTGTGCAAACACATTGTAAACAAAATATGACAGAAATACTCATGCCAGTTATAATCCTTGTTTCTGCAACTAGTCACATGGCCTTAGCTGGCATTTATAACCACCTTCTTCTGCTAATGGAGCCCAAACATCTGGCACCTACATCCACATAAAAACCTAAAAAAGCTTTAAGAAGGTTGTAAACACACAAAAACGAAGCCAAATATGTCTTCCTAGTCTCATGTCTTTCATGTCAGCCACAGTACCAGGAAGCATCTCCTAGCAGTTGCCTATGGGAGGAGCCAGCTGCCAGCCAGCACACACTACTGAGATGCACTAAGCTAAGCTACACAAACAGCGGTAGACGTAATAGTTTAAGATTTATCTCATGTGATCAAAAAACAATACAGATGCTCAATAAAGACAGATTCAGGCAAAAAAAACCCTCTAAATGGGTTATGATATGTTTAAAAACATACATAGGCTTGGGAGGGAAAAGAAAAAGGGTAGAAACAGCCATAGATTAAAACATAGTTTAAAATAATAAAGTCCTTAAAAAAGAAATAGAATAAAAAATATAATAAGCCACATAAAGATGGGAAACATACAGAGAGTCTAGATTCTGTGTATTATTATGTTGCCCTTAGATATTATGATTGCTAATGAAGAAACAACTGCTGCTATGACACATTGGATTATAAAAACTGCTGAATTAAACCAATCTATATATTTTAAAAATGTCTTGACTTCCAAATGAAATTCAAAAGATATGTTACTTTGAGGAAGAGTAACATATGCTTTTATTTCCACAGGAAAGGAGAGGCTGTGAATTCGTTCTGGGTTGATATGGATCAGGT